GCTATAGAAATAAACCGAATTGAATAGATCTACTGTCAGAGTATCAAAGTTTCCTCCACTATATATACAGGTTTTGAAAGTTTTTCCATTAATTTTCAGTTTTTAGATAAAATAATAAAATCTAAAACACGAACATGACGTGTGTAGTGGAAGTGGAGCAAAAACAGCAGATTCTGTCATCATCAGGTCGATGTTCCTGTTTTCTAGCAGAGATTTGCCTTCATGAAACGTGAGATAAGAGAAGGCTGATCAGCCCCAGTGAACTTTGGACAGGGTGAAGGCTGAGCTGTACGCTGACAGGGTCACCATCATCCTGTCTGGGTCTTACAGTTCACATGAGTGTGTCTGTGTCTCTGAGGAACATAACCACCAGGGAGTGTCCTGTTCTGTATTTCAGCTCTCAGCTATGCAGCTGCTCAGCGTCTGGATCGTCGCTTACAGTATTAGTTGAACTCTTTGCTAAAATTAGATGGCAGAGTGTTTCTGGGTGGGGAGCATGGTCCACATTTCACTATCAGTGACCATCTGGAGAAACATTTATAGCTAAGAAGCATAAAAAAATTTCCTTGTGCAACATTTGTTTGAAAGGAGTTGAAAAGGTTTCAGGGACAGTTTTTAGGCAAAGCGATTTAAACGTCAACTTTAAATAATTCAATCAATTGAACAATCGATTGAAGACCCCAATCTCTACTTTTCCTTGGATCAATAATAATGGGTCAACATTTAAACAGCTGACAAATTTAAGACTTTCCAGCAGTATCGGTCGATAAAGGCATCGACTAAACCACAATAAGGCTGTTTTATACTTTAACTACCAAACATTTCAGGCTGTGACCAAAAAAACAGACAGGAGATCACCTATAAAATGCACATTAAAATATATGTTTATGATATATATTAAAATTACTTCCTTTATTAATTAATAAATATAAAGAGAAGTAATTATTTAATTTTGAATAAATCTATTCAATTAATCAATCCATTTTAGACCGATACTGGTGTCGGTATCGCTGCAGTACTAATGGTGAAGTTTATTAATAGCCTGTCTGTGTGATACAGATCCTGGTTGAATGCACTGAAGTGAAATACTGAAAATCATGTAGTGAATCTCAATCTATATACTATTAATTGTCATTGTATGTTAAACAGGCCTATAGGCTCATAGAACTTTTGTCCAAAAAACCCCAAAAAAGTTTTAAAGCACCACCTGTTCTTCCAGTGGCCCTGATCAACTGGTCCTGAACCCTATTTTGGCTACACCCTTCTGTCAAGCATTGATGTCGATAATAGTTTGCTTTCTATACTATTTTAAAATATTAAAAACATGAACGTTTATGTATCAAAGTGATTTGAAATAAAATCAGACCCAGTGAAATACATGGTAACTTTGCCAGACACAAAGAAACCAGAAACTGTGTTAAAAAAAAGGGTGATCACTACATTTCAATGGTTAACAATGGATTATACCTCCACATGACATCAAAAGCCTCTTCTAGAGCAGAGAGGGAGCAGCAGCACAAATGTTGTTTCCTTTAATACAACACTGCCCCCTGCTGGACAGAGCTTCTAACAACGCCTGATATAAATCAACATTTAAAGCTTTGCTCTGTCTAACTAACCAGGGAAACATGCTTCCTCAGAAACATGCTGGTTGCTGACAAAGTGCATCAGTACCTCTGAGCTCACATGGGTCAGCCTGGTCTCCGGTTGCCGCTCCAGTGATGATGAGTCCATCTGACAGGAAGAATTCAGCGGCTCGGGCCATTTCCTCTATAGTCACATCAGAGGTCAGAGCATGGGAACTGGAGACAGACACACGCAGTAAGATGAGTTTGTCCAGACGAACGCAAGACTTACTGTACAGGAAAACACTGCAAAAACCGATCCTAAAAAATAAAAAAAAAACATTAAAATTAGTGTACTTGCTCTCAACCCCTAAACCTGAGTGTCCCTGCAGGGCCCAGAGGGTGACGCTGAAGTTGTGCTTCTGGTAAAGGAGGAGGCTTTACTGCTTCTAAAACAAGTTTTTTCTCAAATAATTTTTTAACACTGAGAGAAATATCAGCTGTGCTGCTGCCATCAACACCTTTGTTTATAGATGTTGGAGATCGGCCTGTTTTTCAATGTAGTCCTGTTTTTCTGACTGTGACTAACTGGATGTGCTTTCTTCGTCCTCTGACATGGGAGCTGGCTCAGAGCCCGTCTGCCTGGCTGTGTGTTTCCTGGACGGGGCCGCCTTTTACAGCTGCTTTTTGTGTCTCTGCTTCTGTCTCCTTGAACCCCAGTCAGCCTCAGCAGATGGCCGCTCATGTCTGGTTCTGCTGGAGGTTTCTTCCTGTTAAAAGGGAGTTTTTCCTCTCCACTGTCGCTACAAGCATGCTTAGTGTGAGGGATTGTCTTCAAGTCAATGAGTCCATGCAATTAGATAGAAAACTTTGAATCAATCTGAATGTATGATCTTGTGAACTGTAAAGTGCCTTGAGATGACAGTGCAATATTGATTGTATACCATCTATATAGCATGTCTCTGATTGGACGAAAACGACTCATAAGAGTCTTACCCAGTTTACGAGTAAAAACTCCCAACCTAACCTAACCTAAACCTGAGCTAATCTTAACCTAACCTAACCCTAACGGTACTTAACCTAACCCAACTTAACTTAACCCAACCTAACTTAACTTAACTTAACTTAACTTACGGTAACTTAACTTAATCTTACCCAAGTCCTAACCATAACCAACCCAATCTTAACCTAACCTATCCAGGCAGCTTTCATTTGTCATTCCATAAATGGCAGAGAAGTGGACTCTGTCAACAAACTAAAGTGACGTCTGAAGGCTGTTGGTGGCGCTTTGCGCTCCAGCCCAAAGGGGCTGAAAACAAAGCAATTTTTATCATTTTAGTTTTTTTATTAACAGAAGCATTTTGCCAGGCAGAGTTAACTGGATCTGAGCAGCCAGGCGCCTCACCTGTGCTTCTTTTTGATGTCGGTAAAGATCTGCACATCGTCTGCTCCGATCTGCTTGCGATACCTCAAAAGGTCCCCGGCGCAGGCATTCAGCAGACCCTCATCTGCCACGTGAGAAAAGACAAACCCCTCTGCCCTGATGAAGTCCAGACCTAAAAAACAAACATCAACACTGCAGAAACTGCCCATCTAACCATGTCTTTCAATCTTGGATCTAGCCAAAAAAATGTTTTTGATTTAGTTTTTAAATTAAAAGTCTAAGCAGGAGCAGATTCTGAAAGATTATTTTTCATCTTTTGAAAAGATTCTGGTCAAAATGAGTGCAATAATCTGCAATAATATCTAAATAAGGTCACTAAGGCCACTGCAATTTGGTGAGACCTCTTGAAATCATGATATATATCCTAAAGACAACATGTCTTCCCAACATTCTGACTACAAAGGTAGATTTTTGCTAGAATTTTTTACATAATATCTTCTCAAATTAGGATTAATAATATCAGAGAATTTGCTCTTGATTAGTAGGCTGAACTCAAAGCAAGATTAAAAAGACTTTATGGCTCTAGATGTAAGATTGGTAGACATGTTGGACACATTTAGCTGTGAAAGTGGTGAGGATGATGAACTAGATGTTCCACTGCAAAAATTATATCTCAGTAAGACAATTTTCTTGAACTAAATGTATTTTTCCCTCGAGCAAATAGGGAGGACAATCTATCATTAGAATAAGAGGATTAAAAGAAAGAAAGCAAACACAAACATTGTATTTTATTTCCTTAGCATAATATAGATTTTCTTCTTTTAGTTGCAAAAATATTCATTTAATCAGCGGATCAAATTTTTTAACTTGTCTACTTCTATCACCTTGAACCCCAGTCAGCCTCAGCAGATGGCCGCTCACACTGAGCCTGGGTCTGCTGGAGGTTTCTTCCTGTTAAAAGGGAGTTTTTCTCTCCACTGTCGCTACAAGTATGCTCAGTGTGAGGGATTGCTTAAGAATCAATCAGCTGGTTTTCCTTAGATCTGACTGGAAGATCTGGTTGAATTGTTTCTGTACATTTCTTTGAGATTACATGTGTTATAAATTGGCGCTATATAAAAAAACTCAATTGAATTATCAGTTTTTATAGTGTAAACATTATTACGTGCTTGAAATTAGTTAATGGAGTTAGCTTTTTTTAATCTAAATGTAAATCCCTTTATTCCACTGGCAATTTTTTTTACTTACTGGTTTAAATCAAGACTAAATACACATAATTAGATGAAAAATTGACTTACTGATATTTACACTTTTGCAGTGGATTAGGACAAAATGTGTGCAGTGTGAAATGAGACATTGGACAATAAACTGATGAATAGTAGAACCTGAAGCTAAAGCCACAGCCAGTGCTTGCTGGTTAGCAGAGGACAGGATCTGAACTCCCAGAGGCAGGGTGGGGCAGACACCTCTGACAGCAGAGCAGACCGCTGTCATACAGGCACACACCTCAGGGCCCACGCTGAACGAGTAGGGGACATCGTGCATGTTTTCAACGATCAAGCCATCCTGAAAGAGGCATTTACAAGCTGTGATTCCTCTTTTGAGAGGGAAGATCTCAGCTGTGCTTACGTGATGTGTAGAAACTTACGATGCCTGCATCCAGGTAGACCTCTGCCTCATGGCACGCTTCTTTAATGATCTGCGGCATATTCAGACAACCCAGAGGAGTACCTGGGACACACAAGAAAGGACGCTATGGCGTAAGATGCCTGACAATAAAAAAACAAATGCCAATGTGTCTGACTTTGTAAACATCAATGAAAGTTGAACAAATTTAGGAATTGATTTTCTTCCTTTTTTGATACTCATATATCAGATGTTTCATCTGTACATGTTGTATAAGAATGAATCACAAATTCATGACTATAAGTCATGATTTCATGAGTACAGATCACAAATTTGAACATAAGAATCACAGTCTTCAAATTTAGGATACTTCAAATTCCAAGTACCTATCACAAATATAAGGATACAATATGCTATTGTAAAAGTATGCATTAAAAAATTATAAAGTACAAATCACAAAATTGACAGTTCAAATACCATATTCAAGAGTATGAATCAAAAATTATAAAGTACAAATCCTTAATTTAGGAGAACAAAACACAAATTTTACAATTCAAATCACAAATTCAGGAGTATGAATTAAACATTCATGAATAGAACTCACAAATTTATAGTATGATTTAAATATTTACTTGGAGGAATCACAGACTTGGAAGTACGAATCAGAAATATATAATATAAGCCATTGGCAGTATAACGTTCAATTGATGGTTCTGTTTTCATTCAATGCTGACAGTACACTTTCAGGTGCAACATCGCCACTAACTGGTGAGAAGTGTAACTGCTTCATCAAGGCGCTGTATATCCATACCCATTGATTTTTGACTAATACTTTTTAGAGCTTTATAACCTGGCTTTGAAACTTATAACCTTGAATTCTCAATGATAAATCTTTGGAAGTCACAGGTATGTAGGAGCTAAAAAACAAGAGACAAATACAAATCTTAAGGTTATTCATGTTCATGGACTGATATTTACAAATTCAGACACCTATGCACACATTTTTCTTTTTTTTTTGTTGAGTTTCTGCGCCACTAGTGGCTTGTTTCTTCGACAGTAGGCTGAAAGGAAAGGGGGTATGAGAGAGAGGGAGAGGCATGCAGCCAAGGATCACAGGTTGGATTCAATCCTGGGTCGAAATTTGAGGCCTCAGTACACGGGTCGTGCGCGTTAACCACTGCACCACCCGCATGCCCCTATGCACACATTTTTGACAGTTATCTTACCCCATAGATTCAGAGTAATACTTGACAAATATTTAGACAAACTGTACTTTTTTTTGCCAGAATTATTACTTTTCTGTGATCGCTTCATTGCATCCTACTACTCTAATACTGGATCAAACTACTTCAGAAAAAAGATGGCAGATTTGTTAAGAGTCTAATGGTAAACCAGTTATATCTTTCAGGAATCCTGCAGCAGTAGCCAGTCCTGCTCCATGGAGAATAAAAAAAAGGTTATAAAAAATAGAATTTACCTGGCAAAGCTTTGACATGAATCATTCCAATAACGACGGATTTCAGGGACCCAAAAAGTTTCTGAAACTTCATTTTGTTTTTTTTAGTGGTACCACACGGCTGCTGGGGTGAATGAAAGGTGATTTTCTCTTTCACTGGAGTGAGTATCACGTGACTGAGCAAGGTTCAAAGACAAAAATCAATCAGAAACTCAAACTTTTAACTTGTTTTTTTAATAATTTTGTTCAGAAAGGCTTCAGTTGTTTTTATTTCCCATTGAATGCATTAAAAAGCTTTAAATAAATACATGTGGGTTAATGAACACAGGGCCTGCAGGGTTGAGTTTAATACAGCCAATGCATGAATGTCCAAAAGGGGCAAAATTTAAAAAGCAGAATAAACCATTAAACAGGTATTTCAATGTGTTATAAAATATATATATATATATATATATATATATATATATATATATATATATATATATATATATATATATATATATA